TTATTTATTGTAGAGATGAGGTCTCGCCAAGTTGCCCAGGTGGGTCTCGAACCCTCAGGCTCAGGCAATCCACTCACCTCGGCCTCCCAAAGCACTAGATTACAGGCTGAGCCACCGAGCCCAGCCAAATTAAATATTTTAAATGTCCATATATTTTGTACCAATACATCCATTCTCTGAATAATTCTTAAATTCTTAAAGCATGTATTGCAAAAACACGAAAAGTTATGTAAGAGACATTAATCCACATTCTCATCCAGGTATCACCTTATTTCATTCTTCCACTCAAGAAACAAGCTTCCAAATAATACACTAATGCAATCTTAACTCTGCTTTTTGTGTTTCCTTTTCAAATGCTCGTCTTGCTCTAGTTCCATTAATTCCACCAAATCAGATTATGCTAACGTCATCAATGGCGTCTGTTTTGAGTCCACTGAGACAGGTCAGCCTTCATCTTTCCTGAAAGCACCACTGTCTTCCCCACATCAGTCTCTCTCTCATTCTTCCCTGTTTCTCCATTTAAACCCACTGGCCACTCCACCTCAGTGACCTTTGCAGACTCTCCTGAATGTTGGGGGTCTGCAGGTTAAGGTTTTGGTTCTCATCTCATTGTCTCCTCTATTTATAAGTGACTGCATTCATTCCCATGTTCTCATTTCCAGACATGCAATAAAAAATCTGAAATTAAAACGTTCACCCATGGCATTTTTGTTCATTCTAGGCCCATATTCCCAACAGCCAATAAGACTTCTACACTTTCATGTCTCTCAGATACCTAAGAAAGGACATCCAATTTTATTTCTTTCCCAACATCATTTGTACCCAAAGCTTCCAGTATGAGAATGTCATTTTCTTTTACTTATCTCTATAGCATTTCATATAAGTGAAACTGTTACAGTTTTTTCTTGTAACAATAAAAGTTTCAACACAGAGGATGGTGAGGAGAAGGGGGGGGGAGTTTCAACACTTTAAACTGTTTGCTTTATTCACCTAGATTACTTGAGAGCAATTTCAAAAGATGCCAGTTTGATAGTCACTTTATACATATGATATAAATGTTCATCAGGGAGTGAACAGATAGGTAAATAAATATTATCATCTGTTTTTCAATTTGGTTCAGAAAACCACGATTTGGATTTTGGTTTTAGAACAAACAAATTCAGGAAGTATTGTTTGGCAAGAATTTAATAAATAACAAAATACAATATGTAATAAAATGAAAAGGTACACATGTTTTCTAATTTTAATATAACGTACAGGCAAACATCTCTTATATGAAAATGTAAATATTATAAATATGAGATGCAATAATACATAAATAAAATAATATCTCAGGGACTGATGCACCTGAATCCAAGTGTTTTTTAACATGTCCTTGTTTAGTACACTGATAAAGTATTTGCAGAACTATTTCCATAAATTCTATGACTAAAACTGAAATGAATCTCTTTTGAAATGACCAAAGGCGCATGTGCAGGTGTGATATGGCAGATAAGTCAACTCAAGATGAGCCCAGGTCTTTATCTTTACTTCTCAGTTGTTCTTGAAAGTTTTTTTGATAAAGAAATGGATCTCATGATTTCCACTCTGACAACTTCCCAGGCACAGCCACTGTATTTCTTCTCTTTCAGGTAGAGCCGGATTCCCTGGAAGTACCTCTTCAAGGCCATTGCAGGGCCCTCAGTCACCCCGGCAGACTCTTCCTCTCTCACCGCCCGCACCAAGCAGGTCTCCAGATGTTCCAGCTGCTGATGAAGTCCAGCGAGGAGTTTGTCCAGGAGGGTGGTGTTCCAGGCAGCAGAGGAGCGCTCTGTGTGGAAGAGGTTGAAGACCTGCTGCAGCATCCCGTGGAAGACAGACACGGCCTGGGCCTCCTGCAACCGGCTGCCATCCACCACCTCCCGGGGGAATCTGAAGTCGTTTCTGTCCTGAAGACACGAAAAAGGGGAGATTCTCCTCATCAGGCGCAGATGCACCAAGGTCTTCCTGCTAAGCAGGCCGTGGTTCTGAGGAAGGTCACAACCCAGGTATCCAGCAGGGCCACAGCTGCACACCACCAGGACGGCCAGTAGAGGGAGCAGGAGGGCCATTGGGAAATGAGGATGCTGGGGGCCTGGCTGAGCAGAGATCTGTGTGAACCTTCAACCCTAGGGTCTCTGTAGACAGTCTTCCTAAGCATGGCTTTTAATAGGGAATACCTAGTTTTCATTTTCTGAATATTTTCCTATACTTTCACTTTCCTTTTTTTGTTTTCACTTATGTGTTCTCCCTGTGGCCTAAGAGGATGACAATAATCTAAATCATTAATTTTGCATTAGAAGTTTAATTTTTCCAGTAAACTTCAGATGCTTCAGCAAAAGAAATTGGATATTTATCAATTCAATGAGAAATGTCTTGATGCTAAAGTCAGAAGTGTATATATATTCTTTTTTTTTTTTTTTTGAGTTGGAGTCTCACTCGGTCGCCCAGACTGGAGTGCAGTGGCCGCTCCCGGCCACCGCAGCCTCGACCCGCTGGGCTCCGGCGATCCTTCCGTCTCAGCCTTCCGAGTAGCCGGAATTACAGGCGCGCGCTACCACGCCCGGCTAGTTTTTTGATTTTTATTGTAGAGAGGAGGTCTCGCCAAGTTCCCGAGGCGGGTTTCGAACCCGCGGGCTCAGGCAATCCACTCACCTCAGCCTCCCAAAGCACGGGATTACAGGCTGAGCCACCGAGCCCGGCTAGAAGTGTATATATTCTATGTATGTCAATGACACACACACTAACACAAATGTTTATGCGCGTGTCTCTATGTATATATATTTCTCGGTTTTGGATACAAATGTTTAGTCTTTATCCTGGCCTCCATTACCAGACCATCCATGACAAATAAGGTTTTTAGAACCCAAAACAGGTTTTTGTTTGTCAGTTTGTTTTAGAGGTGGGGGTCTCAATCTGTCGCCCAGGCTGGAAATGAATGGTGAAACCATAGCTCACTACAGCTTCAACTCCTGGACTCACTCGATCCTCATTCCTCAGCCTCCTAATTAGATGGGATTATAGACTTGTGCCACAGTGCCTGGGTAATTTTTTAAAAATTTTGTTATAGATGGGGTCCTGTTATGTTGCTCAGGCTGGTCTCAAACTCCTGGCCTCAAATAATTTTCCCACCTCAGTCTTCTGAGTAGCTAGGATTACTGACTTGCAGTAAGAATGGGGGTTTGCTTGCTGTTTTGTTCACAACAGAGGGTAATGATTGGTAGTGAATAAGCTCCTCTGATGTTTAACTTCCTTCTAGGAAACATTCATGCAGTTCCCTGTGTTTTCGCTTTACTGGTGCCACAAGGTCAGGATTAATATAGGTATTGCCCTTTCTTTTCACCATTTGCTTATTGAGGTCTGAAGTGCCCCTCTGGCTGTGTCATTATCCTAGTGGGAATTCTTGTTCTTAGCAAGTGCATAAGTGTGTGGAGATTCTAAGTCCCATAAAATTTATTTCCTCAAAATTGACTCACTCACAAGGGGGTTATCAGATATAGTAACATCCTGTCCTCTAGAGTGACAAAGTGTCCACCCCCCAAACTCATTCAGACTCACTTCCTGAGGGCAGGCCCTTCACAACCAATGACTTTAGAACTCCTTCCTGAGGAAGAATTTGTTTCTTTGTCAGCAAAACAAGTAATCCTCCCAGTCCCTTGCCTTTGCCCCTAGAGAGTTCATGGGAAGGACCTTGGCTGTCAGTGGTGACCTCCTCCTATCCTGACCCATGTCCTAGGTATCAAACGTTTCAACAATTCTCAGATGACGATGGTAAGGGTTACTTTTGTCTAAGGAGGTGGAGGAATGGAGATGATCCAGTTACAATCATCTTACTTTTAGAAGTCAAATAATTTTTATTTTGCCAGATCCAATTTTTATTGTTCAAGTCTTTTCCTTAAACTAATGAACACTTGTTACTTTCAGTGTTCTTTAGGTGGGAACAAGGGATTCGGTGATGGTGTTGTCTTTCATTAGAAGCCAGTATCACAGAAGTTAGTGACTTTCAATTGTTTATCCAGTCACTGGTCCTCTTGGGGTTCTTTTCTCCTCTGTCTATGACTCAGTCTGACAATGCCTGTCAGAGAGGACCAGGCTATTATGTAAGGAGGAAATAGTCTTCTCTCTTTTACCTATTTGTGATTTCTCATTTTAAATTTTTGTGCCTTCTTTTCACTTAGTGGTTTACTGGACAAGGTTTGTTTGTTGATTCTGTATTTCATTCTAATTCATGATCAAGTACAAAAAAAGGGAAATTTAAAAATGAAAAAGTTCTGTGCCATTTTTACCTACAATTTTCAGGACTTTAGATTTTTTTGTTTCTTATTTCAGCTTTCCTCAAGAGCAAAACGTGACAGTTTGTGAACTAAAAATTTAAAAAAGCATGGCTGTATGTCATGAAAATGAAAGAAAGGAAGTGGCTGTCTCCTGATGATATGGCCATGTGTAAAATAGCAAAATTTAATGCAGCAAAATAAGGGCATAAGATCTCTGACAGGAGGAAGAATGAAGGCCAATGTTGGGTGAACAGAGGCAGGGAAATGGCTGTATCATCCAGGGGCTCAGGGGAGAGCAACTCCTGGGTCAAAGGACTGCCCTCAGCTGTGCAAGACCACCTATCTGACTTTTCTTTCCTTTAATCCAGATGTGATCGGCACTTAAGAGTGAAGTGAGGAGTTACGCCAACCAATTTATAGGAAACTAGCAACCAGTTCCCAGTTGCTAGAACACTAACTCTCTTTGGTGAGATCATGGATATTAGTCTTGCCTGAGCCTCTACCTAATGAATAAATCTACCCAGCCAATGAAGATATTGTCTTGAGGAACCCAGAATCAAAAAGAAAGGAAATTATATTACCCCCAAAGATTATCCTCTTAATCTAGTTAATAATAATGATCATGATATTAAAAAGTGAGAATACCAAAATGTATTGCATGCATTTTAAGATCTTTGAAAAATATTAACTCAATCCTCTCGATAACCATATTTGAATTATGCTCATTTATACAGCTTTTTGGAGAGAAATATAAATGGGGAGGGAGGCACTATTCTGGGCACACCAACAATTCAAGGTCAAAACTTTAGGGAGAGTCAATATAATGGCTTGTCTGAAAGGGCCCTTCAAAGGAAGTGGAGGGCAGATAAGAACATAAAATGTATTAACCAAGGAGAGGCCAGGGCATGTATCAATTTTAAAAAAGCTTTTCTTTCAACAGGTTAGTGTCAGAAGTGAGATCCAAAGTCAGACTCCAACGACCGCTCCCAAAACACCGGTTGACAGGGCAAGGTACCTGCAAATCTCCTTGTGTTCACTGTTCTGTTTTTGACTGAAAGTTGTGAGGTTTTTTAAAAAATCTCTTATGAACTCCGTGGATTTGTAGTTAGAGCTCTCAGATTTTGCCTGAAGCATTTCTTAGAATATAGTATTCCCTGTTGTTAAGTGATGCATGATTGTAGTGACAAAAATTGGAAAATATTATTAAAGATAATTGGAAATTATGGTGGTCATTTTGTGAAACCTTACACATGAACAGCACTATACTTTAGGAAGTGCGCTTAAAAATGAGGGCTCCAATTTAGGCCAACCTAGGAATACCTATGGATATGCAGAAGTTTCCAAAAAAACTTCAAAAATAATTTTTATTGCCTCTTTTAAGAAAATAGTCGTTCATAGAAGTCAGGCCCTCAGATCAATGGAGTGGACTTTTTAAACCACCTTCATGCCTTTGTCAAAATCTTAAGTTCAGAAAAATAGTGAAAGGTATTACATTTTGGCATAGAAAACGCTTTCATGGCCTTATCTGTTAAAGGACTCCACTCGGAACTGAGTAACTTTAGCTAAGAAATAAAGCAAAGTTGAAAAAAAATCCCTTTGAACTAAATCATTTTCCAAAATATACCCTTCTGGCATTTAGGGGACTATTTTAAACCAGTCTGTAGAAGAATGTTCTATTAAGGAAATCTCCAGTTATAATGGTATCTTTTTCTCTTCACTGGAAGGCAAGGAGAACCAAATCACTAGAAACTTACAATGCAAGAAGTAGGTCTGCATTTACGTAACAAGTCTTACTTATTTAAGGTGCTTTTCCTGACCATCTTGTTTTAACTGGGCCTTTGTCTATATCTTTCTTTTTTAGTTTGAAAAAACCAGTGTTTGACTTGTCAAACCAATAATCCTGGAAAGACAATCAAAACTTTAGGTTTAGATAGTACATGTTTGCTTTCTAATGGACCATTTGGATATTTACAGAGCGACTCATTCAATTGCCACTCTCAATGGGATATCAATATATTTTTTTAACAGTCTATATTCTCTGGTTAGATAGAAGCTTTCCATGAAGGGAGGTTAACATTATAACAGTAGTTAAAATATTATTCAAAATTATGTTTCCTTTATGGGAAATTCTTGGAGAAATTGTCAGCAATAGAAGTACTTGTTTCACTGAACAAGTTGCAAAATAGTTAAATAATGTATTACAAATACAACAGCATTGAACAAATTTAACTAAATTACCTGAATGATCTTGGTTAATGTATTACAAATTGATGGCAATCAGATCCTTCTCAGGGGAAACATATGTTGATTTCTTGTGAAGTAATCACTTGGTTGCCTCTTTTTCTAACCCCTGAGGGACTATATTGGGTCTGTGGAGAATATTCTTACTCTGTTTCTGCCTCCTTACTGGTTTGGATCATTCTATTCAGCTTGGCTCACTGCTGCCTTTCAATTAGCTTTTCCAGAATGTCCCTATAATAGCTCCTATGAACAGGAGTCCGCATGGTCAGTAAGCAAAATTAGGACCAACCTTCAAGTAGACAAAGCTAAGCTAGTTTCCACTATGGTGACAGCAGTGGCATTCCTATGGACTTGTTATTGGTGGTAGTGAGGTATGGAATTTCAAGCTAATCCTTAAATTGGGAAATATTTTTGATTTTGTCACCAATCAAATCTCCTACATGGGTAGCAGTCACTCTCCAAAAGATGGATGATAAAGTGTTGTTTTTTTTTAAACTTTAATTTTAAATTTGTGGGGGTACAACTCAGGATTAGGTATACAAATGTTCACTATGCAG